GGTTCTGTTTGCTCTAACCCATTCTTTATACATCGAGGTACTCATCAGGGTTGCCGCTTTCTCCTCTGTTATTTGCCCTATCCTTGGAACCCTTAGCTCAAGCAGTCTGACAATCTGAAATTATTTCTCCCATAATTATACGGAATACTCATCATCATATTTCTTTGTTTGCTGATGATATCTTATTGTTTTTGGAGAAGCCGTCGCATTCTATTCCTCATGTGTTGAATTTATTTGACCATTTTGGATCTCTCTCTGGATTTAAAATTAATTGGAGTAAGTCATGTTTACTTCCCCTCAATTTTAAAATTGATTCCATGTCCCTTTCTATATCTATTCCATTGGTTCAAAACTTTAAGTACTTGGGGATAGATGCTTTACCTTCCCTCCAGGAAATCGTCTCAAAAAACTATAATAGTATTCTAGCCAAAGTATCCTCAAATTTGGAAAACTGGTCTCGTCTTCCTACTTCTTTTCAGGCTCGTATATCGGTGATTAAAATGAATGTTCTCCCACGTATTAATTTATTTTCTTCCATGATTCCTCTCTCCCCACCGGTTGGCTACTGGAACAAACTTGATGCATGTGTTTCACGGTATATATGGGATTGGAAACGTCCTCGTATTAAACTGACTACCTTACAACGATGTAGATTACATGGATTCCCTCTGCCCTTTATCAGTCTGGTTTGATCAATTGAGGAATCTGTTGTTTATCCGTATAAATTGAAGCATCTTGTATTTTCGGGGGTTCTGCTTAGACAGTGTAAATCTCGGTTTGGTCCCATTGTAACCCACCTTCTCTCCACATGGAGGGATGTTGAAAGACGTTCACAACTAGTTACAATATGGCATAGGCACTCGCCTATTTTCCACAATAATAATCTTTTGTCAGGCAGTACTCCTGAGTCAAAGGTATCAATTATTATATTAATTTAAACAATGATCAATCAATTATTATATTAAATTACATATATCTTAGTGTCTTAATTGTTTAGATTTTTATAATGCATTAGCTTCTTGTAGATCCACTGATTCACATTTAAAAATATGTAGCAAAAATAGCAGACGAGCTTGTTGAAAAAGCAAATTCATTCTCTGCCAGCAGGTTAGGTTTCCCTTTTGGAACAGCAGAATATAGCGGTTTCCCCGGTAACGACAGTACACAAAGCAGCGGCGCCTGACTTTGAAACGTCCAGCGCTCATATTTATTCAGTGAAATCAGTAGTGGTCGACCAATACTGTTTTTTTGACAGCCGATGCCGATATCTTGGAAAGCAGGGTGGCCGATGGCCAATATAAAGCCGATATAATTGTATTTATTTTCATTAATATGACTCATAATAAAGTAAACACACTGGGAGATATTTATGATGATAGTGGTTTAAAATCCTTTCAGAATCTTAAAACTCAATATAATCTGCCAGGCACCTCCTTTTTTATGTATTTGCGTATTAGATCGGCCCTATGGGCATATGGGGTGCCTTGGAACTCTCAACTGCCTATTCACTCTTTGCGCAAACTAATCCTTCCCTCTGAGGAATCTCCATCCTCTGCTTCAGGTATCTATCTGTTTCTTCTTGAGCATTCATACAAACCTTTATCTATTACAACTGTTTGGGCTAAGGATCTAAATGAGGATGTGCATGTTTTATTTTCGGTGAACCTGGACTGAGAATTTGTTGGACATTATCTCGATGGAACTTTTCAACTTCTCGTATACATGGATCTAATGTGAAAACTGTACATTTATGGCATTCAGCTTTTAATGTTGTGTCAGCTTTTCTAAAATCTTTGTAAAAATTATTTTATTGCTATTTATTTATCTATTATTATTCATTTATTTATTTGTATTATTATTTGTTTTATTTTATTTTTTAATATATACATATTTTTATTTTATGATTATTCTTTTTTTATTTTTTATTCTTATTATTCTTATTATTCTTATTTTAAGTCTACCAGGGTTGGGGTGGGTTCTAAATTTACACAGTTGCTGTTTGTTTTATATTACTATTCCCAGAAGAAAATTCAATAAACAGTTGTTAACA